AGGGTAATAATAATAAGCTTCTCTTCTGGAGGGTTAACAACTTAAGTTTGCAGACCAGATTAGTTAATATTTTTTTTAAAAAACTATTTAATTTCTAGCACTTTGTGGAAGTTTCAAATTAATCTTCCTAATTAGATTTTGTGTTTTTCTGAACTCAGCACTAAACAACATTATTTTCCTTACGTGTGCCCAAATAGCATATGGATATAGGCAATGGGCTCCTCAATAATATGCAGCACAACTGGTGATTAGGAATTGCTTTTCCTGGAGGGAAGATCAGCTGCAGTGGTGATCAGAACTTCAGTGTGAAAAATAGGCCTTTAGAGAGAGCTCATTGTGAGAGTTTCTATGCAGGAGAATCTATAGAATATTGGCTGAACATGTTGAAGAGAAAGAAGGTTACCTCTCAGAAGAAGGACTCCTGTGTGTCCTGTAGGTAGCCCAATAGCTTACCCCTGCACCTCCTTCAAATCTTAATCTGAGCATCTCTCTTCTAACAAAGACTTTGAGAACACTGTTGTGTTTACTTAAACAGCCTCTGCTAGCAAACTGGGCTGGATCCCATTGTACTATAAGCTCCATAAGCCACACGTGTCTATTCTGCACCTAAAATAGCGGCATGTAGTACAGACTCAAAAAGTCTGTTGAGTAATTCTATTTGTCTAAATTTTTAATTATGATTTTGACTTCAGCATAATTATAGTTTCACAAGAAATTATAAGAAAATGATAGCAACAGATCCTATGCACGTTTTAAGCCATTTGTGTAATGCTGATGTCTTCCAAAACTGTAATTACCACAGTATCAGAATTCATAGGCTGGGATGGATGCAGCACAGTATTGAACACTTCCAGCACCCCAAAGATCTACCATTTTTCACTTTTATAACTATATCCACTTCTATCTGCCTCTTACCATTTTATTAATCCTACTGAGCTGTTTGGCCAGTGCTATGAATTTACTCTTGAAAGAAGATGCAGGTTGTTTCTACAGGTATCTTTCTTGTTTTCCTTACTACATTGAAATATGTGAGGCTAAGTAACTTTTTAAAGCGAAAGAAGATGATTAATTCTGGTTATGGTTCTGGGGGCCAGCACTTAATTGAGAGGCTGCATTTGGTGACGCGTTTTGGTTACAGAATCTTGGTGTGGTGCAGGATGTCACTTGAGGGTAGGCAGAGAGCGAGTGCAGCTGTTCACAGGTGTTTTGGACTGTCTTCCAGGATAAGGCCACCTGAATTTAATCAGGGAAGTGACACACTAATACCTTCATCTAATCTTAATCAGATGATCCGGCATTCTGAAGGTCCCAACTTTAAATTTTATATTCAGATTAAGTTGGCAGTGACCCAGTATCTAACACTGGGAATGAAATCTTCAGACCTCACACATTGGGAGATGCTTAAACTGAGCACCAAGCTGGCCTATCACAAACAAAGCTGTGGAAGGCATTTGTATGCAGAGTTTGTGTGAAAGCACATTTCATTTCTCTGGGATAAATGCTCAGGTGTACAATTGCTTGTTTTTATGGTGGGCATATTTAAGATTCGAAGTCACTTTCAGACTGTTTTGTGGAGTGACAATACCATTTTACATTTCCACTGCAAATTTATGAGTGATTTTGTTTTTCTGAATCCTTGCCAGCTTTTGATCTGGTTACAATCTTTTTATTTTAATCACTGTAATAGATAAGTGGTGATAACTCATAATTTTCCTTCACACTTCAATGAGAACTACTGATGCACCATAATTCACAGGTGGTTTTTTGCTCTCTTGTTGCCCTTTTTGTGATATCTTCTTATTTTCTGTGTGTGTTCTGAGTTGGGTTCTCTGTTTTTCCATTGAGAAGTGTCAAATATTTTTGCATATTCTAGATACCAGCCCCTTGTCAGATATATAATTTTCAAATATTTGCTTATAATCTGTGGCTTTTATACTAATATAGTGGCACTGATATGGAAGTATTAACATTGGATGACATTTGATTTATCAAATTCTCCTTTTTTTGATCGTGTTTTTGATACATTAGGAATGCTTTCCCAAGCCTTAAGCAGTGAAGCATTTTTTCATTTTTTTTCAAAAAACTTTTACAATGTTACATTTCACATTTAGGTCCATGATTCTTTTTGAGATGTTTATAACAGGTGAAAAGTTGGGTCAAGTTTCAGTTTTCTGTGTAGATGTTCCACTAGTTCAGCATCATGTGTTGAATGTGTAGCTTTCCACCACTGAATAGCTCTCTCACCTCTTTTGAAAACTACTCTTGTACAATTACGTAGGTCCATGTTTAGGTTTTCTGTTCTGTTGCATTGAACTCTATTTCTTTTTCTCTCTCTGTCTCTCTCCCTTCTTTCTCCATCTTTCTCTGTAGACATATTGGAGATTGTACATAGAAGCTTTGTACTGAACCACAGCCTCAACCTGATTAAAGTTTGAAGGTCTGGCTAAGTTGCTCTGGCTGGGTTCAAATTTGTGATCCTCCCTCAGCCTCACAGAGTGCTGGGGTTAGAGGCTTGCATCTGTCCATAGTACTGCAGGGTTTTAATTACTGGAGGTATGTAAGTCTTCAAACAGTTTTACCTGATTTTATGATTTAATCTTTTGAAATTGTTAGCTATTTTAGTATCTTTGTACATATGTATATGTTTTAAAATAATCTGTTTATATGAAAATCTTGCTGGAATTTTTGATTATAGTTGCCTTAAATGTGTATAAGTGGAAAAATGAACATATTTAGTATGTTGAATCTTCTAATAAATGAACACAGTATTCCTCTCCACTTATTTAAAATGTTTTATGTATTTACCATTTTTTCTGACTTTATAACAAAAAATGCATGTTTTGTTATATTTACACTTAACTATTTCAATTTTTAATAATTAAAATTATATTTTAAATTCCATATGTTCATAGTTAATACAACATATTTCCATGTATATCATATATTTAGTTGAGTCTTGCGACCACTCTGAACTCACTAGGATGATTTGTGTAACTTTCCTTGGGTTTGCACAGAGGTAGATAAGACTGGTTTGTACTTCTTTACCACCTCTGTGTTAATTTTCTTTTCCTAGATGATTGTGCAGGCTGATGTCTCCTGAAGCTTTTTCTTGTTTTTTTCTCATCCTACAATGAAAGGATTCAGTCTTTCCTCAATACACATGTTACAGTAGGTTTCTGTGCATGTTCTTTGTTAAATTGAAGTAGTATTCCTCTATTTCCCTGACATTTCATTTTAGAATCCTTAAATGGGTTTGAATTTTGTCAAAGGATTTTTATGTATCAACTTAAGTGATATTTTTCTTTACCCTGAAAATGTTATAGATTATCTCAGTTATGATACGCTCTTATTTCTTCTTTGTTTTCTGAGCTGAAGTGTCGCCTCTCTAAGTTCAAAGATGTTTGAGAGAGTGAGAGAGATGGAGAAAGGATTTTTTTTTCTTTCTCTACTGTGTTTTCACTGTAGCAAAACTTGTTTTAAATGTAATAGGTGCTTCACATATTATGGCTGGATAAATGACAAGAAGTGCTATGTTGACAAATGAGGCTGTATTCTATCTTATTTTGGTCACCAATGCACAAATAAAATATGTGCATATTCTAATTTCAATTTTGTAGATAAAGCAAATGAGGCTTTAAAATAATTAGTCTCACCATAGAACTCTGATAGTATAATTCTTCTGTTTCACACTGTGGCAGGGATGTCATCGTACGTGATAAATGTGTGGAAACACGTACTTCAAAATTTATGCTGCTAACCTCTGTGCAGGAATCTATTTTTAAATCTTTTCAACTAAAGTTTGAAAATTCCTGGACAGCGTACTTCATAACCACATTCAAATAGATAGAGTGCAGGAACTGGTGAGACTGTGAAGGTTAACAGCTGGAATGGGTTGCTATTAAATGTATCTGAGTCTGTTTCCACAGGATTTCTTCTTTTTATTGTTCCGGAACAAACATAACTTCACATACAGTGTTGCTGAGCCATATTGGTTTCAACACGTATTTTTACAACTGTCAGAACCAAAGTGGGAGGAACTCCCTAGATATTTAAGTAAGAAGTTTAGCACATCCTATATGCACTAAATATTACAGAGATGTCATACTTATTGGAAAGGAGCAAAGACATAGATAGGAATATCAACTGAGTTTAGAGAAACCCTAGAAACTGCTCAGGGCACTGAAGAATTCAGAAACAGTGCACTTTTAAAGAAGGCAAGACTGTTATCTTCTTACTTTCATATCCACTGTCTTTATAGTAGTGTCTTAATAGAGATGTATTTTGTGGAAATTTCAAATATTCGCGATGATTCTATGAATTCAGCCAACAGGGATATAGAAGGTTGTGCAATATTTGTCTCATGGATATAAGAAACTGAGGCAGTTCTTGCTTTGAGGACAATGCAGCCAATTTGCCTTGCAGCCTGGGAGTACTGTATCAGTCTTAAAAGTTGAAGTTTCCAGGCTATTGTATTTTCAAACCCACAGTGACATCCCTAATTTCTTATACCTGAGTCTGGACAGTGCATAGAATGCAGCCCGTTTTAGATATCAGCTTGTTTTTCACTACTGAGCTCATGAAGTAGAATATATTTATCTGTGACAGAAAAGCACTGCCTCTATTTGGTAATAAATCCTCAGCTCTGTTTGTTTAGAATCAGGGTCAGCTTCTTAACTGAGTTTCTCCCCTTTTAGACTTTCTGAATCTGATTAGCACTGTGTCAGGGAGTTGTCTAGTGTCTGACCTTGAGCAACAACATGCATTCCTGCTGCCTTTTTATTTTTTGCGATCATTTTCTTCAGCCCTGGACCTTGCCTGACTTCGCACAGGCTGGAAGGCATTAGCAGCGTCTTTCCTGGGTGTCAGAAGGGTGCGAGCCCCAGTGACCTCTCTCCTGTCTTCTCACCTGCTTACATGCTGATTCATTGATGAGCTGGCTTCCCAGGCCCCGCCTCCCTCTGAATGTTCTGCGAGGTTGCACTTGCTTCAGGAGAGGGGACGCTGAGCTGCACCACAGCTGCTGTACTACAAGTGTGAACCGGCCACCTATCTGTTGACACAGAAGAACTTGGGGGCCATCCTGAGGAGCAGCGCTCTCTTACCACCCTGTTCTGTGCAATCTGTATCCGGCATCTCTAGCTCCGTAAAGGAATTTCTGACTCAGGGACTAACAGCTAATTCCACAGGAGTTGTAAGGCAGCCTGTGACATAAACTGAGACAGAAGTTTCCCCTCACAGACTGCTTTTTTTTTTTTTTTTTTTTTTTTTAATTGGCAAAGACTTCTGGCTCTCCTCAGAGGAATATCTTGTTGCTTAAGATGAGTGGCTGTAGAAAACGATGTAAACGTGAAATATTGAAATTTGCCCAGTACCTTCTCAGACTATTAACAGGTTCTCTTCATACAGGTAATGGCTTTTTTTTTAAATAATAGTGGCTGATGGAGGATAGTAATGAAGTTGAAACAGAGTAGGAAAGCCTCACTATTTCCTTGCTATGAGTATTTCTAATGCTGTCAATAAAATGCAATTGTGTCTATTTGCTGAGATTCATGTTTCTAAAAATGTGTGCAGTGCAGTTCTAATTTGGGGGTAGAACTGGATTCTCTGAATATGTCTTTTATGTCTTCATCACTGTGTTGCTATTAGATGTGTCTCAGTCTAGGGAAACCGTGTCTGCAGAGAGGAAAGACTAAAGAAGAAAAAAAATGCATAATTTGGTGAGAGTTTCTCTCATTCTTGCTTGCTGCAGTTTATTGGGAAAGCACATAGCTGTCCTTCCTGCAGGCACACAGAAATTCTGTAGAACTCTTGGATTATTATAACCCCTAGATTATTTCCAGAATTTAATCATGGAGCTTGGTGGTGAAAGAGTTAAAGACAGTTCTTTCAGAATCTGGAATTCCTAGCAGAATGTGAGGGAAAGGTGGAAACAGCTGAAGAGAAAAATGTCCATGCAAGGTGGGCTGTTTGTTTCTTTGCAGTGAATTTCAGTGTTTAAGAATTTTTCACGATAGAAATAGAAACTCTATTTAAATCTAAGTGTTGATAGCAAGAAAATATTTTTAAGATACTCTAAAATGATGGAGCTAAACCAACAGTTTTGCTGCCCTTAAAATTCCTTAAGCATCCCTTGAGACAGGTGGGACCAATATGAGTTCGCACGAGTAATAGATAATTGACTGGACTTTTTTCTGAGAGAACAAAGTTAGTTTAATGAAATGCTACACTTTGATTCTGGCCCTAGAGAATGAATGTTATCTTTATTTTTGGTAAGTGTAGCTTGTAGTTGTCTTCCACAAATAATGTGACAAAAGTTCAGAATGAAACTTAAATACAGTGCTGCAAGGTTGGGAGATGAATGTGAACGGTGTTTATGTAGAGCCATAGAAGCTTTGTGGTCATTAACACAACTGCCTGACAATTTTGTTCACAGTGTGGAAAGAGAAAACTATTTTCATAGTGTAAATGTTACAGTCCTATGTTTTCGAAAAGCGCCATTAAATAGTAATGGACAGTAAGGGTTGCTAATACCCTAATGTTAGCCTCCTGCTAATAGCCAGATGCTGATCTTCAGCAGTGCAAATTATAGCGACTTGTAAGGTTTCTAAAGAACTGTTCTTGGGGGGCCTGGCCCTAGCTCAGTCCTTTAAGTGGCTGCTTCCATAAAGAACTGTTCTTGCAAGCTCTACGTGACTCTTCCCAACTTGAGGCTCTGTTGTGTTTGCCACCCCGTGTTCATACTCATATTAAATAATCCGTCCTGTCAGTATGACCATGGCATGACCTTTCTACATGCTTTAAGCCCTCAAGAATGATGTATTACAGAGGATACCGTGTCTCATTTGTACTCAATATGTGATCTTTTATTTTGGTATGAAATGAGACAAATATTCTTCAAAAGTAGATTTTCCACAAGATTTCCACGATAAGCTTGGTTTTCCTTTTTTATAAGGCAATTTTGAGAATCTACCTATTTCTTACTGATTCTATTTTTTTTAACTAAGTTTATTGGCACAATTTATTTATACATCATGATCACAGTCACCTGTATGTTGAGTGTATATTGGGAATTTGTAGCTGTATGTTGTATGTCTTGATTTCTCCTCTTTAATTTCTGGGTTTTACATGCATGCCTAGGGTCTGCCTTTTTGTTCATTCTATTAGAAGAATGGTTTTATTACGCTTCTTATTTTAAACTATTTTATGAAAAATTCAAGATGTTTTAAAGTCATAGGCCATATATATTAAGGTCAAAATACAGACTGTGTACCAGTTGTCTAAAGACTCTTTGGTAATGTATAAAATGTAACTTATGTAAAGTCTTATTCATTGTATGTTTAAAAGTCAGAGTGGATGAAAGCAGTTTATTTTGAGACACAGGAGAAAAACATGTAAGTAAAGTATCTTTGAACTTTGGAAACAGGGACCAAAATATTATGATATAGTAAGTTAAATTTAGATTCTGGGAAATGTGATTGTGATGACCTGTTTCTTGTAAAGCTTTTCTGTTCTATGTCCACAATATTAAATACTGTAAAATCCAGGCGTAATTTTTACAGCTGCTTAAATTTTGACTTAGGAAAGCCTATTTATGTATTTACTAGATGATGTGATAATATACACTATTCATATCATGGGATCTAATGTAAAATTCATCAGAGTGCTTTTGAGTCCCTTAGCGAATAATTAATGAAGAAATAGAAAGTAGAGTTGAATTAGTTTAAAATAATTTACTTTAGGGTAGGACATGTCACAATTTGCCAATTGTATCAGCATACGTCTCTGAAATAAGAAAAAATTAAAGCATTTTTTTAACCAAAAAGCCTTTCTAGTTTTTTGATTAAGGATATCTAAGGAAATAGTGTTTTAGTTTTATATTTGAAAATAGGTTATGTCTGAAATACATAATTTATATTTTGGTAGCTGCTTTGTGTTTGTTAAAAAATGACTTGTGCATTTATACAAAGTTGGGAAATTGAATGTACAAAGAAGTTTCAATCTATAGAAACTTTTCTTTGATGTTTCTTGCTGTCGTTATTACAAGTTAGAGAGACCAATTAAATTTACTTAGAACTTTTCATGTGAGTTTTGGCAGTGCCTACAATTATTTGTGAATGGCATTTTTAACTAGTGATCTTTCTAAAGTGTTCTTCAATTAGAGAGTACAAATTCAATGGATAAGTTTTACCAGCTAAAATAAAATTCCTTCATTTTTACCAAAAGTGTTTTACACTTTTTATCATGTCAAATCACTTTTGAAAGAACGAAGTTTACAAACACATATTTTAACTTTATTTGCTATGAAAACTGAAGTATTTTGAAACATCCTTCACTATGGGTAATAAATCACAGAAACCCAAAGCAAGTGTTACCAGTTAATGGGTTACAGTTCGATGAAGTTTCATATAGGATTCATCTGTCCTCATTCTTTCTTGATTTGGGATTTGGGACATCCTGGGCCATGTTATGTTCAATTATAGATGGGACTGCAGCTACCCAGTATATATCCCTGTGCACCCCAGTATACAGACATGGGTGATGAAGACTAGCGTATGAGCTGCTATTGGAATGTATAATCAGAGAATTAGCAAAGCCAGTGATAAGAATGCCCACACCACCTCTTGTATAGTGCTGAGCCATTACAAAAGGGTATATTATACTACATACACCAAGCTATGAACTCTTTGTCCTTTAGCTGTGTGGAATTTAGTATGAGACTACTCTACAGTACTTATTTGAAGGTTGTTCTGACATTTATCAGTATTCTGTATCTCTTGTTCTTGATAAAAAGCAAGACCTGAACACATTTTCCTATTAGGAAGAATTCCCCAAACATATGTCAGAGGTGAACATTGCCTGGAGCTCAGTTTCAGGCTTTCTGACTGCAAGGCATAGGCATGGTAAAGTTCAACCCTTCACCTAAGGGAAGCAAAAGCAATTTATACTGAAAAAGTATGTTAAACTTTGAATTGTTATTTAACTACTGGATTAAAGGATTTCAAATGTAATGAAATTATATTACTAAAAGAATGAGATAAAAATCCATCATTTTATCACATACAAATTTTAGATTAGAAAGAAGATATAGATGGAAAGAAGTTGGAGCAAGGGAAAAAGGGAGGAGGAGGAGCAGGAGGAGGAGGGAAGGAGGGAGCGAGGGAGCGAGGGAGCGAGAGAGCAAGAGCGAGAGCGAGAGCGAGAGCGAGAGAGAGAGAGAGAGAGAGAGAGAGAGAGAGAGAGAGAAGTTGACTGGGTTCCAGTGGTAAGTTGACACAGTTGAAGTTACTGCATGTGAACCTAACACAACAATGCTAATAGTGTAAGAATTTAAGTTCTTTAAGTTTGCATATTTATAGTGAAAAGCAAAAGTAAAAACTGATGCTTTGCAAAATCCGAGCTCCTAAGCCAGCTCCTGGCCATCTTCCCTTTTCTGTCACCCTCTTCCCTGCTTCTGCTTGTGGCTCCCTGGCTGCCATGTCTTTTCCTCAGCCCCATACTATCACCTCCTCCCGTACCAGCAACACAAGCACACAGAGCAGACATACCCATACATAAGATGTGCCCGTGGAAACCTCATGTAATTAAAGATTTGAATTTAATCCAGACAAAAATGGCAGGACTTTCTCTTTGCTATTTCACGTGCCACTGCCATGTGACAGCTGAATACACAGTTACAGTACCTTTCTGCTCTGAAATGATTCTTTTCTTCATGATGCTATATGTTTTATATGCAGTCTTTTTTATTCAGTTGCACACCAAATACCACCAAATCCCAGTATTTTTTTTTTTGTGTGTGTGTGTGTGTCTGTATATGGTTTTCCTTATGTTAAAACACGTTGTCAGGCAAGAAGAAAGCACAGAAAGTTATGTTTATACTTGGTAATCCATGAAAATATGACCTTTTGTCACTCCTCCCAGAGGAGTTTACATTTTAAACTTTGTGCTACAAATGATTTTGTCCTGTGTAACTTTTCAGTCAGTTGTGAGGGAATATGTGCCAGGTTTTAGTATCTTGCTTCAGCTCAATTTTGCCAATGCTGCCAAATCTCATGAGAGAATCCCTCATTTTGAAGACAAAAATAACTGTATATGAAGGCTACTAATGTCCCTTTAATTTCATAAAGAAATCTGCAGGTTACTGCTTTTTGCGAGTTATCTTAGATTCTTTTCCACACATCAAGCATATAGGTAAGCTTGTGGGGTTTAACAATTCTTTTTTTTTCCCAAAGGTAAGAAGAGTATCTTATCAGTGTGAATTGTTAATAGTAGGTTTTTTGATCACATAGAATTGGACATAGTAAACTTAGAATTTTTGTTGACTTATTGACTAAATTAATCAATTTATCGCAGAAAGTCTAGAGAGGAACTAATATTCATTAGAACACCTGTATTTCCCCCTCTTGGTT